AAACACAAACTAAATGATGCCAGCTAATGAGAATACTTGCATGTGTATGGGTGTGCTTGTATATTTACATATGTGTGTGTGTGTGGGTAAGCGACGTTTTAGAAAATGAAACCCAAGTGCAATATAAAACGCTTTTCCATGCCTTGCGTGTTGTCATAACATAAGCACACGAGCGGTGTTTGCATCAACATCACAATATTGCTGTTGTTGTTGTTATTCTTGTTGTTGTGTGTGCTTTACGATAAGGGGAAGGGTGCAGGGTAGTGCCGGCTGCCACGACTGATTCGCCAGTGCCCGGAGGCATTTGACGTTTACGTTAACGTATCACACACGCCAAATAAACTTGAAACAGCAACGCCTCGCTTTGGTCCGGGGTTCCTTGAACTTTCCCTCATTCCCGTACGAGTATAGCTTGCAACAAGCGCGTGTTGTGCGATGACAATAACAATTTCACATATCGCTGACGCTCTTTTGTTTGTCGTTCTCGTCGCTCTTGCTGTTGCTGTTGCCGACGGAACTGTTTTTTCCGTAACGCCCCAACAATTCAAGCAACACACAATTTCCGTTTGTGTCAAAAGTCAACGACTGGGCCAGTAGCGATCTGCACGTTGCCTTTCTACACTTTCGAGTTTATGGACACTATAAACTTCGTCTCAAGCTTGTGACGTTCAAATGGGCAGACGGGTAGTGATCCCGATTTGGGTGTCCACATAAATTAGCCGTTACCCAATAAATATTTCAGACTTGTACGATAAGAATACTCGTCAAATCAACGTCTAACAACGCTTTTTGATATATTTATTATATAGCAAGGTCTCTCAGTGTAATAACGCAAGACATCTGAAAAGAAAAACCAAGAGGAGTATAAGTATAATGACTTCATTTTTTTTTAGTAAGCTATAGTGGAAACTACTTATCTCTAAATCTATTACTGAAAACAGCGAGCAATCGATTCTGCACAGATCCAGTTCAGTTTATTCCTGGTTGGTGCTATATTTTCTTTAACATATCAGCCTATTTAGGGAGATGCTGGAGTAACTTCTTATAGCTAGAGTGTGGAAGTTTCGGTTATGTTTTCTTTTGACTTGTCTCTGGTTGCCCTGTCTTATCTTTTTCTACAGTTGTCAATGTCTGGGACTCTGTCTCGTTGTCGCTTGTCGGGCTGCTTGCGTGTCGTGTCGAACAATTATTTGGCATTATTTATGCGCACGCAGCGTCGCCAAAATCCCATTAGCAAAAGCCATGTCTAGAGAGAGGGACTTTAACTATAGCTACAGGTGCCGGCCGAAACGTGTTTCAAATTGTGTAACAACACTTGACTCATGCCGCACGCATTCACAGTTTTCATATAATGCGGATGAGTAAACCCTTTTTGTTTTTTGGTTTTTTTTACGGCCGTCTCGTTTTTTTGTTGTCGGCACGTGTAGGCCTGGCTCTACGTTTTGGGACACAGTCATCGTGCATTTTGCTTTTCTGTTTTCTGTTTCTAAAAGCCTGAAGGCGATGAGTTGCGCATACGATATTGATTGAGAGAATTTACATAGATATACATATACACGTATGTACAAGGATGTGCTAGTCCTATGTAGTTATACTAGATATGTATACTGGTTGGCAAAAGTAAGGAATGTTGTCATTGCGAACATAAAGAAAAATGTAACATAGAATACCAAAAGCAACATACAAATACTCGTTAAACAATTCCCAAAGAACAAACAAAACTTTTGCGTGTAAAACGATTTTAGTCCAGAAATAAATTTTAAAATGAATTCTACCAAAAAACTAACATGGATTATGCGTTTTGAGGACCCGTTTCTTCAGAAAAGAAACAGAGAATAGAATCTTAGAAAATATCATTTCATTTAATTTATTCACAACCTTTTTCATAAATTGGTGTGTATCTATAATTAGTTAATAATGAAGAGTACAGGCAATAAAACCTTATCCACTTAATTATATATAAAGTGTGTTTTTACAGTTTACGAGTGAAGGGAGAATCTTAGAACATAGTTAGAATTATGTGAATAGAAAATTTCAATTTCCTAATAGAATATCATTTCATAGTGAAGTTTGTTCAAAACGACTCGAAATTGGAACCAAAATTAAACTAAAAAACATATCAAGGTGTTTCATTTGAGATGACAGCAAATGATTTTATTTTTGTTTGTCAACATGTAATTTGGAATTTGGAAAACACGAACCCAAAGACTATTTCATTTGTATCCCATTTCAACTTGAATATTACATATTGTTTCGCAATTTAAAAATAAATATTTCATTACGATGTACAATTTACCAAACTAAAAATGGTTTCTCTACTGAAATCTTTGCTTTATTTGTTGATAGTTAAATTTTTGTTAAAGTAATCGTTCGTGAAAGACTTTTACCGCCTACTGTACTGGCCTTATTGGTTTTTGTTTACGACAAAAAAAAATTCATAGTCATGCGTTGACTGCCGTCTCGTTCGTAAAGTAAGGTATGACGTACAATTTGGGTCGCCTAAAATAAAAAATAAAAAAATGGAAGGCAAAAAACGAGGATAAAAAACGAAAGAAGAAAACGAGGCGCGTGCACATCCAATATGCCGTTGGGGCTTCAGTTAAGTTACGCATTTCTGTTACGCATTTCGGTTTCTGTTACATTTCCTCATGGCCAGCAGCTAGAAATCTGAATTTTCTATTTTCTGTCAGATAGAGGAACAAACGCATAAATGAAATAAAAAGTAATTTCAACGCACTTACAAACATATTGACAATTGTGGCTGGGTATTGGAGAGATCCGCTTAGTCGCCCCGCAACGATGACTGAACAATTCCACCCACGATATTTAAAAGGCAAGTCAGCATGGAAATTTCTCTGCGGCCTGAATATTTTCCTCATCTGCTGCTTAAAATTGCATGTCTGTCGTCTGTTATTCTGCCTTTCTGTCTTTCTGTCTGTGTGGAAGTGCCTGTGTGAGTGAGAGAGAGTGCGTACTTTCTGAAATGTAATTACACCCGAAAGATACACGTGCCGTCGACAACTTCATTGCTGTTGTTTTCGGCTCTACACTCTGCTCGGGGGGTTTACAAGTCGAATTTGAATGCCTGTCTGCTTCAATGCCTTGCCGGCGGACTCATCTGCCTGACAGCCCACCAGCAACAACAACAGCAATAACAAGAACAACATAATCTAGAAGAGCAAGAAGACAGACATTGATTCCATCCCGCCCACCCTTATTTACGCCCATCGACATCAAATTCGGCGTATACTTTCAAATATTTGGAATTTGTTTCGATGCTTAGCAGCCTTTTTGATTGACTGCGTGCGTCTAAAGCCTCTGCACCTGGGCCTACACAACATTGTTTACCTTTTCCAAAATTGGCCACAAGAAAAGAGTCAGATAGAAAGGAGAGAGAGAGAGACAGAAAGGGAGAGAGATAAAAAGGCCATTCCCAATGAAGGTTTAACATCAGTTCCTTGTGCATTGCGTTAATAAAGATACATTTTTTGTGGGTGGCCAGCCCTCGCCAACCGCAACGCCCACTCCTTCTCCCCCGACATTCATGCGTGTGTAAATATATACACGTGTAGTTATATATAGTACAACCGAAGCCAAACCCAAGCATCTTAAGATGCCAACGTGTTGCTCTAATGACAGCCAAGTGACTTAGTCCGCTTTGAGTGACTTTGAGCGCATGGCAGACTAGATGGGTACAAGGGTAATGCGTCTTTTTGTTGGAGGCCTGACCAATTAGGCCGTAAAGAAGGCAGCTGCGTACGCCGTTAAGGGCTTGTGCCCCCACATTATGGCCACGCGAAACTTAACCATCACAGTTAGTGCTGTATAGACTGGTTGTAACTAAACACAAGTTGTCCAAGTAAGGTTTAATTTACCTCTGGTTTCTTTATTTTTCTGACATACAGGTTTGCTGCCCTTTACAAATCGTATTTACGAATCGATTTCATGTCAAATAAATTAAAAACGCGGTATTAAACAGGTAATAATAGCTAAAAAGACCAGAAATATCGCTCTAAAGAATTTAATGATTTCGAAAGTACACATAAATAAGAAATTACTGAAAAACTAACTTATGCAGACAAAAAAATGTTCTTCATATTGGATGATATTATTTATAAGCAGGCTTATAAAAAGGGTTAAGAAAACGAAAATTCAAACATAATAGTTTAATACTACAAGGGTAGGATAAGTATTTGAAGTGCTTACTTACTATCCCCAAGAAGTGAGTGCAATGTCTCGTCTATGATAGCAAAATGTTGTTATTTAACATCATCCTTAAATTTATAAATCTTTCTGCTACTCCGAAAACTTTTTAAAGCAATTGGCCATCCAAAAAGCATCATCAATCTCCAGTAAGACATTCACATAGCTCGGCCTGCTCAGCTTCAGATGGAGCTTCATTTGGGAGAGCTGTGTGCATCCGGTTTTGTTGAAACTTGCGTTGGCGCCGCTTCTGCCGTTGCCGTTGTCGGGGCCCCTGGCCCAGAGATATGAAGACAGTAAGCAAAGATTTTTGCGCGTGCAAAAATAAATCATTAACGAAATCTTTGCGGCCCCAGACAATGACGAAATCACTGAAAATAAAATGCGAATTTCTTTGAGCCGCAAATCGCAGCAAAACTGAGACCAAAAATTAAGCAGGAAAGCGTCAACAATACCGCAATTATGCGAGTTTATTGAACCCGTCGAAATTGTGTTTGTATTTTTGATTGCAAATGTTGTTGCGTTTCTGTTGCTGCTGCTATTTTATATGCATTCATACATATGTATGTATGTATGTATACTAAGTACATACATATGTATATGTTTCCATGCTGACGCAAGGCGCTTTGTACGCCGTGGCCTAGAGAGAAGGCACGGCTCATGAGCTTCGCACGTGTTCTGCCATTCACAGTCGTTTTCCAAATGTGCAGCTAATTGGCTCCGCATTTGCTTCGCCTTAATTGTAATTTTTCCCTTTTCTCTTTTAATTAACCTTGTGCCTTTGCTCTTTATTGCAGTTGCAATGACGCCCACTATATGCTCGGAGAAAAAACAGTTGCGAGCCTCGAGCATGAAAGACACAAGACGACTTCACGGCGTTGCCACCGCGGTAACGGGATCGGCAGCCGCCGCAGCAGCCAACAATGCAGTCACACAATCGAGCATCGTGCTGAGCTATGGTGAGTAAGCCCAATGCGAGGGCTGTTTGATGAGTAGGACTAATATCGTAGGACTGAAAACATCACCAAATACTTAGTTTTAAACTAGGCCCCTTACATAGTGCTTATCCAATTCGTAAAAGTTTTTTAAAGAGTATCCAAAACATTATTTATAATGAAAGGTGTATATAAGCATCTAATAACATGGAAGAAAGGTGAAATGAAACCGATATTGTGAACCCTTCAGTGTTGAATAGTAATATAGTAGTTAGAGGTGGATTTTAAAATATAAAAGATTATATGAAAAGCGAAAATATTTAATATGAACAATTGAATAATACTTAATTCACTTATATTCGTTAAATTATTAATATTTATTCATCTATTTATTTATCAACATCAAAGTATGTAAAGGAAGAGATTAAAGTGAAATAATGAAACTAAAATACTTATCCTAAATAGAAAAAATTAAATAATCAAGAAAGAAAATTCGAAATTGAAGAAAAAATCGGTTTATAATAAACAAAGACTTGTGATAATCTCTAAAACGATGACGCGAAACTGTTTAGCTAGTCTGACAAAAATTGAAACGAAATTGAAATTGACAAAATAAAGACTAGAAAAAATGATGACGCATAATATATATTGAACTATTTGTGTTTGCAGTCGCACTTCAAGAAGAAACCCACAATATTAATAATTTTTTACATTATTATTTCAAAACTTTTATAATAGATGCATATAATTAATGTATATGGAATTAAATCATTGAGAGATTAGAATTGGAGGTTTTTTCTTGATCACAATATATCCTTAATCTTTTAAACTAAGGTTCATTATTTAATAGTTAAAAAACAAGAGCAAAGTTTAGGTCAAAATTAATTGCAGTAAATAAAGATTGAGTATTCAGTAATTTGTTTTGAATACAACATTTGAAATAGTACTACTAATTGGAATAAAAATAGTAAATCACTAAGCTCTTTATTTCACACATTCCAAACAAAATATATATTATCCATTATACAAAATAAAAATTCCAAGAAGATAGTCCCATATAGATAGTCTTGTCTTTCCAAAACGGCACATTTTTCAAACAGACTGCCTAAAGCCGAGTATCGTAAGCACAGATATATGTATATATAGTATTTACATGTATTGTGTGTGAATCGTTGCCGGCACATGCGGCGAATACGTAACATCGAAATTTTTTTGTTTTATTTCGCAAGTGGTCGTATTTTTGTTGCTGTTGTTGCTGAATCGCTCACGTTACTTGTTCATGTTTAATTAATTTATGTAAACTTGCCCTGCCTTGCTCCTAGCTTTCTGTATCAAGTGGATATGCGTAGATGTACTATTTGCATACATACAAGTACCTATCCTCTATATATACACACTTTTTCTATTAGTTATTTGCGCATTTCGTTCGCTGCAGTTTCCTACGTACTTATCGGTCTCATGTTCTTGTTAGCCAGTATTGCTTAGCTCAATACTAATGTACATCCCACGTGTCGCGATGCATCCAATTCACGTGCTGTTGTTGTTGGTCGTGCCACACGCGACTTTGTTATGGCAACAATTTGCGTCAGAGCTCGCTGGCTATCGTGGCTGCTACTGCTACTGCTGCTGTTCACTGTTAGGTAAGATCAATGTACTTACGTCCAAACATAGCAACAAATTGCTGCTGCAGTTATGTGGTTGTTGTTGCAAGTTTATATAACCATTAGAAGCAGGCATGACTCTCAATTGAATGATGATGTGAGCACGCGCCCTTGCCGCAGTTGAAGCTGAACTTGGAATTAGCTAATTAGTTTAGGCTTTTGATTAATTGAGCGTGAGTTTTTGCTTTTGGCAATCCACTCGTCCATGTGGCAGTGACTGCTGATTAGTTGATGGCGCTTAAAAAGTGTGGCTGCATTATAGAAAAAGCTGACAAACTATCAGGTTAAATTAGAGCTTAATGCTTGTCGAGCTAAGTAGTAATAGACTAATGAGGAAAACCACAATCTATGAATAGTCAAGTGACTATCAAACATTAAATGTCCACAAGCTTTGCTTGATTATTAAGTTTATGTTAGTCGAGTAACAAAAAAAAAAAAAAAAACAAGAAAGGAATGCTAAAGTCGAGCAGGCTCAACTCTTAAATACCCTGTACCACCCCACAAAAAAGTAATTAAATTAATTAATTAATTTAATTAAATTAATTAACTAAATTAATTTAATTAATTAACTAAATATTAACTAATTAAATATAAAATATTCCATGCATGCATACATACATTTACAATTACATCAGAATCGTGTCTATGCGTGTTTGTGTACTTGTACATATGTATGTATGTGTGCATTGAGCCTGGTTATATGGCTATAACTTTCTTTCCGATCATTCTATCATAATGAGACTTGGTATACGGTTATATAATTACTAACCTAATGTGACTACCAAATTTTAGTTCAAAATTCCAAGAATTACGGGAGTTATAGAAAATCGTTAATAGGGGGGGAGTGGGGGGGTGGATCAGAAAAAATGAACAAACTCGTCCTTTCTCGGTCTCAGGAGAATCTGTATACCAAGTTTGGTTATTCTAGCTCTTATACTTTCGGAGATCCTTGCGTTCATACAGACAGACAGACGGACAGACAGACGGACAGACGGACAGACGGACAGACGGACATGGCTATATCGACTCGGCTTGTCATGCTGATCAAGAATATATATACTTTGTGGGGTCTACCAAGCCTCCTTCTGTGTGTTCCATGTGCACTCGCACTAAACTAATATACCCTTGTACCCTTTGGGTACAGGGTATAAAAAGAATACTCCTACAGCTCCTCTTACAGTACCTTTAATATTTTAATGCAAAAAAAAGTTAAGGTAAAATTTGAAAGAATATCATGTTAATAAATAATTGAGATATTTTCATATTAAAATATTTGTATTTAATATTAAAAACAGATTTTAAACATATTCAAACATTAAAGAAAATGGTATAATATTGTTAAGAAATCTTGACAGAATTCTTAAAATTTAAATAAATATGAGATCAGCGGAGGGTTTTAAAATACATTTTCATTTTAGAAAATTCGTATGCCACCAATTCAATAACAATTGTAATATTAGTATATTGATTGGGAAGGTGTAAGGAAGAGTAATAATAGTCACTAATCGGTCTTGAATTGGACAAAAACATGTAAATGCTATACCTTTCAATTTGTTATAAATAACGGAAGTTACAATCATCATAATTTCCCTTTTGGATCAGCGCAAGAACTAAGAGTATTTATATAAGGAGGGGAGTAAAGCACAAGTTAAACGAAATTAACATCATCATGCCCGTGTGATATTTTTATTTTTCGTGTTGGAAAAGAATTAGCACTTAGTAAATAAATAGGACTAACAGCACTAAGAATAGGCACAGCGGTCAATTGATAAATGGCTTGTTGAAACAGATGAGCTAACCATATCGTATTGTTAGCTTTGCGGCTTGTTAACCCAAGTAAGCTAAAAACTATAAATTCATGTTATTATAAATATAAAAAGATTGGAAAACGACAAAATTTAATTTATTCCACAGACTAAGTAATGGAAAACCCAAATCCCGTTCGCTGAAGTTCGGTTTTTTCGAGAATACTTTCGATTGCTTTTTAACAGAGATTTAATTTTAGTTCACTTTGAATATAAGAGTGCTACAGTAGAGTAGTGTTGGAGTGAACTGATTTACCGTATAATTTGTCTTAGAATTGTCCAAAAGTAGATAATAATTTATAATTATTTATTGTGAAAAGTTTGATTTATATAGCTTTAGTAATTTGAACAGTATTGACGAAATTCTGTAGCGGAGAGATGGGAGGAAAAGTCAAAAAATATAATTAGATCGGGTTGCCTGGGCATAAGGAGAGTCTACAACCAAGTTTGGTCAATGTGGGCTCAACCGTTTCCGAAATGCAGTCGACCATCCAGACAGGCGGACAGACGGATGGAGGGACATGTCTAGATCAAGCTGATTAAGAATATATATTTATGGGGTCGTTGATACTTCCTCCTCCCTGTCTGTTACATTTTTTTTGCTAGAACCTAAAACACTCTTTCGGATACAGGGTATAAAAATATATGACTTTAAAAGCAATTGAAGTTCGTTTTCTTTTCGCAAAGTGTCGATAACTATCGCTTAATAGCTAAAACATGTTGATATTATACTTACTAATGTTATATTTTACAAACAAATACAAACAGTCATTGCAATTTTTTAGGGGCGTGAGCTTCGAATTTCGGGGGAGCACTGAAGTGAATTGCAAAAAAAAAAATTTACGAGTGAACATTTAGGTACTAGTATACGTAGTTATGTGTTTTCTGCGGAGCAAAGGGTCACTAAAGCCCTATTTTTCAATTTTATTTGATTTCACTTTAAAAGCACATTCTTATTGACTGAAAAAAGATAATAGGAACCGGAATGGAGAATGGTGGCAAATAAGTAGCATCCTTTTGCCATTCAAGTACGCATATCATTAATAGCAGCTAAGTGTTATCCAAGTGCGCAACCTTTCCGACATGTGCTGAACAATAATACTATATGTATATGTATACTCGCAAGTAGCTGTAGAGGTCGGTCGCTCGACTGAACATTTTCAAGAGGTTGCTTAAATATTGTATGTCTCATACGGTTGGTTTGTTTTCACAAGAAATATTTCGCACAACGGTGACAAAGGCACACCAACGGCCACACACCTGAGCATTATATGTGTGTGTGTATGTGTGTCATAACCTTTGTTGTTGCTGCTGTTGCTTGCCGCACGTTGCTGTGACTGTGCCACTTTTTATGGCTTATTTACAATTTTTCTACATTTGCTGGCAACAGCGTTTAGCTTTTGCCAACTTGACTGTTTGCCATATTTATCGTTCCACTGTTGACGCTGCGTCTTTTGTTGTTGCTATTGTTGTTGTTGTTGCTGTTGTTGATATTGTTGCTGGCGTTGTTGTTGTTATTGTTGCGATTGTTGTCGCTTTGCACATTTAATTATTGTAG